GCTTATTTCATTTTAAAATTATTTTTACTCTTACAAATTTTTGATTTGACGCATCGTTTTCGAGTTATTCACAAAAAGATACGATACAAGTTCGTTTAAAAGAAAGCTGTCAAATTATTACTCAACGTAGCATAAAATCTGGATTTTCTTCAGTACAATTATTCTTCAGCATTTTTCAAATTAATGGTTATCTCCAAAAAGTACTTTTTTCTAAAAACGCAGCATTAATAGTCCATTTTTCCATCGTAGTATGGCACCACTGTACTTGCATGGGATGATCAGCAATTTTTAATTCTTGTACTCTCGATAAATGGTATGGATAGAATTGCTGTGCATGTAGGACATGCCAAGACGTATCTTTGGATATTCTGAAATGTCTAAACTGTTGCTATCAACAGTACACAGCAGTACTACAATCTGTCACAAAATCCAAAATGTTTTCTTATACGATTAATGAAAACATTCCAAAATCTTTTTGCAAATATCTCGAAAACATTACGTCTAATCAAAATTTCTAAGAGTGAAAATCATTGTAAAATGAAATAGGCTTTTAGAATCAGTTGGAAAATTTAAGGGTTTATGACATAATAAATTTCTTTTTAAAAAGTAACCTTTGGGAACATCTTGTATAGTATTGATCCCGTGGTTCGATATTTTCAATAGTGACCTTAAACGATTTCTTATGATAACATTGTACTGTTTGCCAAATATAGGCATTCTAAGAGAAACCATATTGAAAATATTTAACAAATGTTTGAAAATTTCTTAACTTTGAAGGCCCATATCTTATCCCTTTATTGGTTTAGATCAAAAATTTTTAAAAATTTTTTATGACGATTATCGTTTTAACTCTAGTATGTGTGATTAAAAGTGTGCCATGACTTACAGAAACATCCTGTATATCAAGTAGCGATATTTACTAATGGTGAAGTTGCAGTTTTTCTTGTTACTATTTTTGTCTATGTTTTTTTAAATACTAAGGAATTTAGTCATTGCAATTTTTGATTTGTTCGTTTTGTAGACGCAAGAAGAGATAGAAGAAGCCCTTCAAAACTTCGCCTTTTCATACCTTACATGCTATGTTATTTTATGTTTCTAATATACATATTTAGGAAAATTGTTGATTTGTTATTGCATTAATAGGTATGAATAAAGACACTATTATTATTATTAAAAGGTTACCGAGCAGCGAATAAATCACTGCAAAATTACACGAGCAAATATTGACTACAGAAGAAATGTCCGAGGACTGGAACCTGGAGATAATCTGCTCTTTCCATAAGAAGGGGGTCCGCTGAAGTGTCAGAATATTCTCCAATGTACTATATAAAAGACTGCTTCTTTATACAATATAGCTTCTAATAAAGCTTCTACGAGAGTAAAAAGGGGATGCGTGCCAGGTAGATTAACGACGCACCAAATATTTATTCTACTCTGGATCATAGAGGAGGGCCTACAACGTTATAAAATTACAAAGTAACATCTCAGTAAATATAGGAGTAAGTAACAGACTACGTCAAGAGGGCGCGCTGGTGTGTTTTCTGATAGAATTATTTTGAACCAAGTCCATTACGTCAACAAAATAGTAATCTGGATTTAAACATTAGTAGATCGTTTTCCTTTCGTGTTTGTGACTACAGGCTATGTTTAAATTCATGTTGAGATCAAGTCCTATGACACGTGGTTGCATGCTCTATTATCATTGTTACAAGACTTGATACAATACAATTGCACATAGTAAGATTGTGTATTGGACATCCGGTGATGATATACCTAGACAAAATGGTGGACGATAATAAGTGAATAATAAGTAAATATACACAACTACTGGCCTACGCAGGTGACGTTGACATAGTCACCAGGACTCTGTTGTAGATGGTAGGAACTTATGCAACTCTCCAGTAGGACATGAGTAGGAAAACAAAGTTAATAATTTACAAAACCCTTATACTAGCTGTGATGTATGGTGCGGAGATATGGACAATCAGCATATGTGATGCCGACCTCCTGCTTATTTTCAAGAGGAAAATCCACCAACTGCTAAGGTAACACGTGTAACCAGATATCATAACTTGAATTAAGATCATGCGATTGTAATGGGCGTGACATATCTGCCAGTGTAAGTATCACTAAAGATATTGAGAGTTATAACTGATGGAGGTATCATAGTCTCAATAAAGTTGGTTATAGCAGTGCAAATTTCGTTTACACCTCTGTTTGTCTGTTCCTTTGTATGTGTATAGAAGATGGAGTTCCTACAGCTGATATTATGAATATAGAAAACATAATAGGTAAGTTTTGCATATAATCAAATGAATAGCCGTCACATCATCTCTTTGCTTACAGGTCGCTGTTACATCTACAATTTTGCTATAGTTCCGTATTGTTTACGTTACCTATTCTATTGCACTCAATGCATGCACGCGGTTTCGTCAATTCATTCAAAATATAAACTATATGTTCTTATTCTTCTACTCAACAATATTTCAAATGTGGTCTTTAGCTATATCAACTAACTTATTATATTATTATCGTATTATTATCGTTTATGCGCTTAATAGAAAGCCTGTGTCTCAATAAACAAGATTGCTATTTCACTTTAAAATAACGCAGCAGAATTAAAATTATATATCCTTTATTTCTGCATTGCTTCGTGAATATGAAGAATGTGATCTTTTTTATTGCAACAGACACAGATAAATATTCTTTTTATGTATTCCTACAGGCAAGAATCTATTGGAATTAAATCAGGAAAGTGAAATGGCCATGCTATTAGTCCACCCAACCCAATCCATTTATTAGAAAAACGAGTTAAAACATTGTAACATGCTGTTGTAAACGAATCTCCTCTAAATGATTTTGCAAAGTATTCTTGCAAAAATTGTTGAGTTTCATTGTTGAATATTCTTGGCAGAAAATATCTTATAAAAACTCCACTCCACACACTAACTCCTTTGCTGATTAACTCGATGTAATATATTAGGTGTTTCATAGCCGCAATAATAATGGTTGTGGTGATTGTGGCGCATATATCTTTGTCACAATGTTTTGAATTGTATTATTAATCTGGGTGATGGTGATGCGGAAATCGTTCTGTGTATGCAGCATTATGGAAAATGATAATGTTAAAATGTTTTATCATATCAATATATTCACTCTTATTATACCATGCCATTTTGAATTTAAAAACCTGTGAAAATTTTAATGATTAGTGAATGATGCAAGTCAAATATTGAAAATGCATGGTAATTGATTACACCAATCGATAGTCGTTGATAGTGAATGGTAATAATGTTATTTGTAATTCACGTTCCCAACCACTTCACGGAGGAGGGCGTTAGTTGTTTTTTAAGTTTTTTAACTTTTTTGTTCATTCAATACGCTTTGCCTTTACACACGTGCGTTTCCATGTTATCGAAAGAAAAGATTTTTCTGTTAAGAAAATAATAGTAATTTTAATGTTTTCGACGTTTTTTATATTAATGTTTGCAGGTTTCAAGAACTTAGGTATGTTTAAGAAATTAATTTTTTAATAATTGTTTTTCAATTGATATTTTGTCGTTGTAGAAACATGCCCTGAGGAAGATTAAAAATTTAATCGAAATATTGGCATGTTAAAATAGTTGTTTTTAATTGTCCAATATCCTACTCCTGAGGTTTATTGGTTTTTTTTTCGTACTTCTAACGGGATCAAATAACACAGATCTCATGCTTAGTAATTGATTACATTTAGTCAAGTCACCCTGTCAATATTCAGAGCGAGTCAATATTTGGAAGTTTATTTTTACTTTACTTTATGTTTGTTGATTTAATGAAAAATGTCGTTGCCAAAGCAATAAATTTGATTTTAATGGTAACAACATTAAAAGTAATAATCTATAGGTGTAAGGTCCGTTGACTAACGGGGCGGGTGATCTCTTCTGGTATTTAACGCAATATTACCTAGTAGGACTACCAAGTCTAAAGGTTAAGAAAACTGATCCAATCCTGCATCACCTAGAACCCCAGTCCAAACATTGCAGAGTGATCTTCATTGCGATTTCTAAGCGTTCAAAAATTTTTGAATTTTCATCCACCCAACTATGCAGATTTCTTAAATTAATAGTTCTGTGTGATTAAATCTGATTAGCATGTTGTATTTTTTGTTACATGTTTTGGCAATATTAATAAGATTATAATCTAATTAAATGATCACTCAAGTGTACTTCCTGAAGTTTATAAGACTGGAATGGTTGATCTTATGTTAGTTAGGATCTAAGGACTATCGTTCATAAAATTCTGCTTAAACGAATTACACTGGTTTCTACGGTTTTCTAAGATATTCGAATGACAAAACCATGTCGTATTATCCTCTAAATGAGAGAATGTTCAATAAACATGTAGCTGGTTATTTGAAAGCCGTTATTTGAAGAAGTGGGTTCATATCAACAAAATGTTACAAAACAGCCCTAAAAACAATATTAAATGTTAATAATTGGGTAACAAACCGTTAACGGATAAAGTCACAATTGCAGTATTATCAACTTAGGCCCGTTACTACCACTCATAGTTAAAGTTATAGTTAGCGTTATCTGAAAGATAACGTAAAAATCGGTTACTATCACTGCATTTATCTTATAGTTAACCTTAGCTCAGAGATAACTTTTGCTTCAACCATAACCAGTGGATTCGGTCCGGGTTAAGTTGGTATCTAATAGATAAACGAGGAAACTTAACCTCACAAACAGAATACGCGGAGTGTTGTAACGGTACACGTGTTCAGTGATATTAAAAAATGGCTAATTTTATGGATGTTGGAGATGAAGAAATGATTTTCGAGGAAATAAACGAGTTATTTCCTATAAGAAGCGAACGAATAATACGAAGACGATTAAACCATCTCAATAGACATTCAGATGGGGAATTTGTGAAAAGATTCCGTCTTTCCAAGGAGACTTTTTATTTTCTTCTCCACGAGACTTACGAAAACGTAAGTAATTTAATAAAATTTTTATAATTTAATGTGTCAACATTTACATCAATATTTTAGCAATAACGCTGTACCTCCTGCAAATCGATTGTTGCTGACGTTAAGGTTTTATGCAACAGGCAACATGTTGTTGGCCATTGCAGATTTTGCTGGAGTGAGTGTACAATTGGCATCTACGGTAGTGCACGACGTCAGCTGTGCCATTGCCAATTTAAGGCCAAGGTATTGTAAAATGCCGGAGGGTGAAGAAGTAATTGCTGCCCAAAGGGAATTTTATGATATTGCACGATTTCCGTGTGTGATTGGTGCAATTGATTGTACCCATGTCCGTATGCAATCCCCAGGTATGTCAATATTAACTTTTGATTTTTATTGTAAGTAAATAACGTCAACATAATTAATATTGTAGGTGGAGAATTTGCAGAAAATTTTAGAAACCGAAAAGGTTATTTTTCCATTAATGTGCAAACTGTGTCGGATACTAATATGCGTATTTTAGATATTGTAGCCAGGTGGCCAGGCTCAACGCATGATCAAACAATTTTTAATAATAGTTGCCTTAAACACCGTTTAGAAATTGGCCAGTTTCGAAACGGACTTTTATTAGGAGATGGTGGATACCAAAACAAGTAATAAAATATAAAATGTTGTAATATATGTTTTTGTTTATTTATATTGTCGTAGGAATTATTTGTTGGTACCGATAGACCAACCACAGCGGGAAGCGGAAAGACTCTACAATGAGTCTCAAATTAGAACAAGAAATGTTGTTGAACGCCAATATGGCACATGGAAAAGAATGTTCCAAGTGCTGCGGTTAGAACTAAGAATTTTTTTTAAATTTTGAGGCGTCCAAGAGGACCAATTTTCTTTATCTTCTACTTGTGGTGGTGGCGTATCCGCTGTCTCTTCTACACCAGCGGTTGGAATGACATCAGTTGCGCTCGATTCAATCACACATTCTGCTTCCGACTAACGTGTTCTGGCATCTGCTGATGTAGAAGCCAATACAACGTTCCTAGTAGGTGAGAGGCCTGATGTAGAAGTTGTTGCTTCTACATCAGTAACCGCAAACTCAGTTAATAAGGAATCAGAATGTGTGATTACATCTGAATCATAAACATTTTTACCTACTTTAACATCATTCGAATGTAAATTTACCCTTCACTTTTTCCTCAATAGGGGTTAAGGAGAAAACTTCTGCAGGACCCCCACCGGTCTTCATTGTGTTCATGCGTATCTTAGAATTCTTTTTTCCCACTTCTTTTTTGAACTGATCATACTTCCCTTTGACACTTTTTACATCCCGGTCAATACCTGTAGTGGCTGTCATAGCCCGAGCTATTTCACTCCATGTCTAAAATAACCAAAAAACATTTTTTTTATATAACGCAATACAGCGGATGTAGAAGCATTATTCCATATTACTAAATAAAATTATGTACGTACTTGATGCTTTTCCTGCCAGTGAACGGCATCACTTTTTTTATTTTCCATTATGTTCTTTTTTTCTATAATTAAATCAATTAGCAGTTCCATTTCTTGTTTGGAATAATTTGCGTTACGTTTTTTTTTATTGTCGTTTTCCATTTTGAACAAAATAATAATCACTGATGACGACGTTTGACGTTAGAATAAGCCATAGAATGAGCGGAAATGAATTAAAATAAACTATAAATGTCAAAATATTAGACCTTTTGACTGTATGGTTGCCAACTTAAAAATTCACCCGAAATAAAATCACTAGATTCTTTAGATATCTTAAGGATTTCCTACCTGTGAGATAACTTGAGGTGGTAGGACCGCCGACATAATAAACTATTAGTTTAGCGGTATCTTATAGCTAGCTTATCTAATAGATGCCAATGGTTTGGTAGTAACGGGCCTTAGTCTTCAAGTACATCACAATACTAATTTGTAGACTTATTTATGTTAGAACCTGACTCAGCCACCTTTATAGCAGGAAAGTGATCTGGCAGCAATCAGACGTTTAAAGGCCCTACTCTAATATATAGAATGGAGGAATTCTAATTAATTTATTAATTTTAGTCATCATGCATGTACAGCAGACAACTAAGAAAGAAATCCTACTCTTACCTTGGCAATGAGAAACACCACATAAAACCCAGAAAAAAAGTTCTGTACCTCATCAATAGACTGCATGAATCTCATAGAATTATCAAGAAACCTAACGTGAACTCTAAAGTTCCTTCTCAATAACATTTCTAAAATTTGGAGAAATATCAAGAACTCTTGTTTATTTAAGAACTTTATTTCAAAATATACAATTTTATCTTAAAAGTGACTCTTTGAACCGGCAAAACATTATTATAATTTATCGAGGAGCGAAGATGTTCCCACGGACTTGACTCTTCTCTATTGAAAACCGAGACCGCATCGTTGGCAAAGAAGACGAAGAAGAAGAAAGCGTAAAAGGCGATGAATAAGAAGAAGAAGGAGACGCAAAGTTGTAGAGAATTGAGAAGATGAAGAAGGAGAAGAATTTAAAAATCCATTAATCATTGTTGTGATGCTCGGATACGGATCTCCGGTCGTTTGTTGTGTACCGTTTTCTACGGACGACGATGACTACGACGGGCCGGAGAGGATGCTGGGCGGATTGAGAACTTAATTTTCGAAATTAGTAATCCTGTTAAGTAACAAGGAGACGTCGAGTCTTTTTTTGACCCGCCCGTTAGGACAGGTGTGAGAAGAAAAGTATGAAGTCGTCGAAAGAAGTGTAAATTCGGTTCAGTTGATTTTAAGAAGAATAATCGTAAAGAGATTATTTATTTTTTTGGTTGAGTTATCTTAAGCTTTTTTCTTGTCGAAAAATGTGTTGAATTTTATTTAATGGTATTTGATATATTTTCTTTTGGTTTCTTGGTGGTATAAAGCGTGAGAAATAGCGGTGGTCTTATAAGCCTAAGGCGCCACCTACCGTTTTACAAGATAATAACTCGAGATAACTTTGCCGTCGATCGCAAATTGACAAAAGTAAAACAGAAAATAGGCGACTTCCTGCGCTGCTAAGTCATTAATTTCTCCACGGAGTACTGTACTTGTTTCAGGAGCGGCTTTAGCCAATCAATAATAAACTTTAATTTCTTATAACTCTTTTAAATCATATCAAAAACTTTAAAATATTGTAATGGTCGTTTCGAAGTAAAATTTATATATGACTAACAACTAACAATAACAAAATAACTTGTCTTTGTTGAGTCATTAACAATTTCTTACGTATCCCCTTGTTAAATATTCATTAAATTATTAACATACGCGATTGTCCGGCATAAATTTCTCGTTAATTTAATCGTTATTTCGCGTTCGGTTACGGTGTAAATGGTTATAATGGATACATGGAGGTTGATGAGGAATTTGCATGAAGACGTCCCTGTGCGTAAGTTGTTGTTGGAAAGTATCATCGTTTAATCTGAACAAAGTCACTAAGGAAAAATTAAAACGCATTAAGTGGCTTATTATTATGTCGTCTTTTATAAGTAAAATTATTAGAATTTACGTCGGTAACTTTAGCCTAAGTTCATATCATAACAAGTATGGGATGTAATACGTAATCGATTGATAAAACGATTAACTTGAAACGATTTAAGAAGTTCATTTAAAGACGTAGAGAGATTCTAGATACTCAGAGAGATTAGCTTCCGGCCAAGGTGTTGTACTTTTAACTTAATCTTTTATAATCATTATAACTAGAAAAAGGTAGAGTATTAGTATATAACACATCATAAATGATTGCTCAAATTTTGGAGAAGATTTTTTTTATAGAGAAGCAACCTAAAACTGTACAACAGTTATTCTCAATAGGAAGGGGCGTTAGCTAGATACTGTAAGTGGTAAGGAAAAATAGGACATCATAAAAATTAAAATAGGACATCATAACGGCTGGTACCATAAATATGTTATTTGGCTAAAATGTAACACCGTACCTTCCCTAACATATAAAAGATAGGAAAACTTGTAATTATCTAAAAACAAGGGTATCCCAATAACAAACAATTCGAAAGCTTAGGAACAAGAATTTGATTTTGTATTGAATTTAGAGAGTTATGAGAAGAAATTTTTAAATATCTAATTAATTATAAATTAAGAATACCTGGCGACGAAAAGAAAATCGTTAAATATAAAAATTTTGAAATCACAAAATTACCGATTTATTAACATTTCAATTACATTGTTAAGTAGAAGGTATCCCTGGAAAGAAGCAAAGATGAGGGAGGTAGTAAATCAGAGACAATACATACAAAATAATCTATCTAAATAAGCTATCTAGCGATAGCTTTCAAAATTGACCTCCTGGGTCGTCTCTACTTTTTACGTCTCCAGCACTTGCAGATATACAGTGTGTCCCAGGATAGATGTTACAAGAGATATAATCACTTAAAAATTTTTGAATTTTATCTTAAGGCTGAGGAATTAAGCCCTGCTTGGTGCGGAGAGAATGTTAAGTATATTTTCATATTTTAAAAATCAACTCCGCCTTGATAGTGAAGAGAAAACTATTTTTAGTTCAGGTAAAGTAACCTTTTTGTTCATGATGCTGAAAAGTTTTATTAAGAAAGGTTGTTCAAAATGTGAAATTATGTCGATATGCAAAATTTCAGACAAACCTATCTACTTTACATAAGTATTGTATAATTTTATTTTATTTATAGAAAATCGAACTAAACTTAACTGTCGTTTATTCAACATAACATCCACCTTTTGTTTGCCTAAATTCTCTAAAGCTGTTCTGAATTTCTTCGATGCGTATTTGTCGTATAGCATTTGTTATCCGTTCTTTTAATATTTTTCGATTGTTCGGTATTGGTTGAGCGAAAACTAGTTGTTTAAGGCGACCCCATGAAAGAAATCTAATATTGTAAGGTCGGGAGACCTTCGAGGCCACGCGATTAGACCATTTCTAGATATAATCTTTTCTCGAAATATTAAATTTAACCATTCAGCTACACGTGCTGTAGAATGTGCAGAGCATCCATCGTGTTGGAAGTAAATTACCTGTCTTTCTATCAGCAAAAAAAAATCTTATCTAACATATGGTGGTTTAATCAATGTAGTTCTGAACAAGTTTTCTTAATGATATTTTGCCGTATCAGGAACAAAAAGCCTGAACTAAAAATAGTTTTCGCTTCACTATCAAGACCGAGTTGATTTTCAAAATATATTTTCATATTTTGAAATTCTCTCCACACCAAGCAGGGCTTAATTCCTCAGCCTTAAAATAAAATTCAAAATTTTTTAAGTCATTATAGCTCTTGTAACATCTATCCTGGGACACACTGTAAATGAACTCGATCTATATACATCGCTTTCAAATGAGATTTCAAGCTTTATTTTAAGGTATAAAGTGTTTCTTTATCTTTATTGATAAAGACAGAACGATGTTTTTGATTTCAACAAATTTTTCATAATTTTCAAATTACCAAATTTGGAATATTATTTTGTTTTGGACCGATTCAGATAGGCTCTGATAACAAAATTAAAATATCGATCATAACACGTCACTTTAAAGTGAAGACTTCAAGCTTCAATTTAAAGTATAAACTATTACATTATCTTCATTAATAAACGCAAAGCAATTTTTTGAATTTCAAAAGAATTTCTTGTATTTTTCAAATTAACCTTAAGTTTCTAATATTTTATTTTAAACCGATTGAGGGAGTTTTTGATAAACATGATCTTTATACTTCAGTTTGAAATAGAGATTTTAAACTTGAATTTAAAGTTAAGATTATTTCTTTATCTTCATAAACAAAGGTGTAGCGATTTTTTAAATTTCAATCTATTTACATAATTTTTAAGTTAACCCTAATTTTGGCCTGTTTCATT